CCACAAAAAATGGCAAAACAGACGAACCAGCAATCTTAGTCTATCCAGATGGATCTGTCACAGACACTGTTCCATTTTTTTTATGTTCTATTGTCCCCATGTCCTTTGTGCTAAATGTTATCCTTAACCCTGTTCAGATTGTATTACCTAACCTAGTTTTATGTTATTTGCAAACACCAACACATGACTTTCAATGCATACTTCAATATAATTTATAAGCAGATTAAAGACTAGTGGACCCTAGAAAGAAATCCAATCTGCAAACTTTACTTTTACAACTACATTCTGTGCTCTATCTTCAAACCAATATCCTATTGAAGAATGGGCTTTTTTCACACAAACCAACTGCTTTCAGTTTCACAGTGTGTGGAACTGCATCAAATGTCTTAGCAAATCCTAGTAGACCACATCCACTAAAACATCATAATTTATATTTCTTCTCAGTTCTTCATGAATGCATCTTTTATAAAACCAAACTTTTTCCAAGTAATGATACTGTTCAAAATGTGTTCCTGAATATTACCACATTTAGGAGACAGATACATTGGTGTAATGGGAGTGACTTGCATACCATATTTTTTTTAAAAAAAAGCAGTCTGTTGTAGTTGTATAGATGCACATGAATGCCATCAGAACATTTTTTTTCATGGCCTATTGAACTTGATTGCTTTAAAGTATAACAGCTACACCAAATTACTACTTTAAACAGCATTGAAATCATATTTAATTATGCTAACAGTTACATGGCAATAGTTTTTATGTGCCTTCAAGTGGTTTATTTCTAGGTTATATATTACCTTTTTGTATGGCTTTGCTGTATCTTTATTTTACTTTCTCATATTTGTATTTCTCTTTTCTAGATTTGGGAACTATATCGCAAACTACAATATGTACTGACATATATTGCTCCGTGGCAGATAGCTTGGGGTTCATCTTTTCACGTGTTTGCTCAAATTTTGTCCATACCTCGTATCCTTTTAATGGCATGAAATAATGGGCTGTGTAACATTTTTATTATTGCAATTACTAATATATACATGTGTTTTTCAAAATATGTTTCTTTACAAATGTAGCTCTTTTAGTTTTAGCAATCTCAGAGATTTTAAACAGGAAATTAAGTACAATTAAATACACTAAATACATTTAAAAAAAAAACAGATGAACTCTCAGTTGAGACAGTTTTATAATTGTAATAGTAATCCATTTTCATTTTCAGCATATAATTCAGCATTCTAAAAAGGTGTCAAATGACCAGGGGCAATAGGGGAGTAGTTGATGGTTAGGTACAGACAGATACAGGCTGTGAGAAAACAGGAAGAAAAAAAAAAGAAAGAAGAAAACAAAAGGGAGAATGGGGATAAAAGTACATACATGTTTTGTGGATAACATGTTGGAAATGCTACTGTCCAAATGAGTGTCAAGATTAACTTGAGCATGACATTCTTCACCTCTTGTCTTTATTATATGTCAATAACTTGTCAAATAACCATATTGTATAATTGTAGGTGCTGTAGAATATGTTGGTGCTATATAAATAATAATAATAATAATAAACTATTCACAAAGGACCTATGTGAAGTTGTAGTTGAGCCATAGAAGGCTTGTTGCATTGATATTTTTTTCAAGCTCTAATAAAAGGTATAGCTACCTTTATAGAGATTCCATGTTTCTGATTTCTAGCCATGCACAGTTAGGGTTACCTACTGTTCATAAATGTACTAAGAAGGGAGTGATTCACACTGTTCCTCACTTTAATTTTTTTAAATGGTAGCCCCACTGTGGGGGCATGAGTTGTGGACAGTGATCTCCCATTCTTTAAATTGAAGCCCCTCAGTGCCCACAGATGGGGTTAGGATGGTGTATGTTATTAGCAATTGGAAAACTTGTCCCACTAGTGGGATGGTGAGATGGTGCATAGGGAAGGTATGAAAACTCTATTGTACTAATGTGGGTGTCAGACAGTTTTTAACTTTTTAAAGGGACACTATTGTGACGAGACCAATCTCGCCACATTGCATTGGAGAAGCCTGGTTGCTCGCCTGCTGCCTTTGGACTATGGCCCCCTTTTAAAAGACGTTATTTTTCCATGCAGAAAAGCTGTATTCGTGCTTTTCTGCCGGTTGTTCGGTAGTTTCAATCTACCGAACAACCGTACGAATGACTGGACCACCTGGGAGCTGGAGTGTGCCGGCAATTAACCTCCCTGAAGCTGCGGTTAACCGCAGCTTAATTGATGAACGCTGGGTGGCCGCCGTTCGTATCCCGAACACGAGGTCGCGGCCATTTTAAACCATACGAATGAACAGCGGTGTTCGCCTCTATTTTCATGGAACTAAAATCGGACACAGTTTTGCGCGAACACCGCTGAAGCCGCCGACCTCCCTTCTTGTTCGGTGAAAGCACACGAATGACCCGGTGTTCGGTATTTTTGTGTGAATGTCTTATACCCCAGATAGGAATCCCATGGAGCCCATTCGTATGAAACTGACTGTAAAGACTTTGGCTCCATGGCGATTAAACTGTATTCGTGTGGTCTGAGTGCCATTCACCTAATAATGTGCACTCAGACCTGAGCTATCTGGGGATATGTTACATGTCTGTGTTTTATGTAGTAAATGTTACTTTGTGCATTTTAAAGTATTATGCTGGTTTTGTGTTCCCACGTGTGTAATGGAGTTTTGCCTTTGTCTTGGGAGATAATTGAGTTACTTCCCAATTATCTCCCAGGGCAGAGGGGAGGAAGCCAGGATGCATTGTGGGAATATACTGTGACTGTGTGTCCTATTTGTATACTTGTCTGTCCCTTGTCACAGTCTCCCATTTGGTCCCCTAGGGGAGTGTCCACCAGGTGGGAGACCTGCATAAATACTGGGCAGGTAGCCCTCATTAAACAGACCACTGCTTGACCCTCAACACGGAGCCTTGTCTCGTCTTTGGGGGGATTTACTGAACGCTGATAGAGACTGATTGCTAGGAGTGTAAGCCGCTTGGATGCTTTTCCTATTCGTCTGCTAGCAGCGATTGGGAGGTTCCAGTTCGGGAGTTGGAGCATTCCCTTATTGGCAGTTCGTGAGTTTGGTGTTCTACAGTAGCTGTGCCTGCATCTCTGGAAAGGGGGACGATCGCCTAAACGGTTTTTACCCCTTGTGTGCAAAACGGTCCGTTACAATTGGTGGCAAGCGGCGGGATCGTTCCCACGGACTAAGGACAGCTACAGGAGACACCATTTCTTTGGATTTTACAATTTGAGGGCAACACATGTCCCAGTACAGCGACCCTGACAGCACCAGGATGGAACCAGCAGTGGAGTATGATGAGGGTGTCATGGATGACCGAGATGCAGTCCGCAAAGGCATCTGGTACCAGGCACTGGGTATTGTGGAGTACCAGCGGGGCGAGAGACTCCCCAAGGAAGACCAGCGGTTGCAGAAGCGAGTAGCCCTGCGGATGCCCTTCCTGGGAGAGCAGCCCCTGGAGGAATGGGTGAGGAAATTGGAACACCTAGTATGGCAGGAGTTGTGGCTAGAAGATGCCTACCAGGCGCTCTGGTGGTATGGGGCACAGTACCTGCCCTGGACAGCCGAGCATGACAAGCCAGAGGGAGAGGAGTTTGATGGTCCTGGCTTGTTATGGGAGTCATTTTCAGAGCTCGAATTTGGGAGCCCTACACAAGCCCGGTTCAGTGATCTATTGGAGTGGAGGGAGAGCAGGTATGACTGGGACGACACTCACGAAATTGAGCAAGACCTGGTCCACCTGGTAACCCGGGAGATGGAGCTAGAACAGGGTACCAGCAGCTGTTCCAATACAGTGAGAAGGCTCAGCGGGAGAGCAGCATGACAGACCCAGAGCCAGACCCATTCAGAGGGGACGAGATGGTACGGTTTTACTGGGAAGAACCCCAGGTGGCCGGTAGAGATGGGACCGAGGTCTCTCCACCGGTCCTGCAGGGAATTGGGAGCCCAGTCTCCATTCCCCAGCGGCAGTGTAAAGTGCAGGGAGAGGAGAGCAGTATCCTCCCTCCCCAGCGGCAGGCTGAGTTACAGGGGGCAGAGGTAGTTGTTCCTGCCCCCCAGCAGCAGAGTGATATGCCGGGAAGGCAGTGTAAAGTGCAGGGAGAGGAGAGCAGTATCCTCCCTCCCCAGCGGCAGGCTGAGTTACAGGGGGCAGAGGTAGTTGTTCCTGCCCCCCAGCAGCAGAGTGATATGCCGGGAAGGCAGTGTAAAGTGCAGGGAGAGGAGAGCAGCATCCTCCCTCCCCAGCGGCAGGCTGAGTTACAGGGGGCAGAGGTAGTTGTTCCTGCCCCCCAGCAGCCAAGTGATATGCCGGGAAGGCAGTGTGAAGTCCAGGGAGAGGAGAGCAGTGTCCTCCCTCCCCAGCGGCAGCGTGATTTTTTGGGAATTGGGAGCCCAGTCTCCATTCCCCAGCGGCAGTATGATGCTTTGGGAATTGGGAGCCCAGTCTCCATTCCCCAGCGGCAGCACAGATTATTGGGAATTGGGAGCCCCGTCTCCATTCCCCAGCGGCAGAGTGTCCTACCGGGAATAGAGAGCCCAGTCTCCTTTCCCCAGCAGCAGGACTCTGTATTGGGAGCAGAGACAGTCGGTCTCCCTCCCCCGCAGCTGGAAGTATGTATGGGAGAGGAGCTTGTTACCCCCTCTCCCCAGCGGCAGCTTAATGTACCAGGGGGAGACAGTAAGCCCCACAACCGTGCAGATGGGACCGTAGTCTCTACACTGCCAGCACAGGGGGTAGGGACGGTCGGTCCTGCCCCCCAGCGACAGGGCTGTTTAGCCAAAGGGGAGACAGTCGGTCTCCCCCTTCAGCAGCAGAGATGGGCAACCAAAGGGGAGACGGTCGGTCTCCAGCAGCAGGACTGTGCATCTAAAGGGGAGACAGTCAGTCTCCAGCAGCAGCAGCAGAGCGGTGTACTTAAAGGGGAGACAGTCGGTCTCCCACTCCAACAACCAGGCTTCAACCAGGCTACCCTCCCAGTAGCGCTGGCAACAGGGCAGAGTGCCGCTGGTCTCTGCCCACGCAGCAACCCACCAAGTCAGCGTACCCGTACCCAGCACAGCCGTGGTGAGGCACCTGGACATGGACAAGCTTCTTCTCTACGGGTTGAGGCTGCTGGACTAACAAGGACACTGACCGGCAGGAGGTCAGATACCCTGTTAGTCTGTTTGGAAAAGGGGAGAGATGTGACGAGACCAATCTCACCACATTGCATTGGAGAAGCCTGGTTGCTCGCCTGCTGCCTTTGGACTATGGCCCCCTGTTAAAAGACATCTTTTTTACCTTCAGAAAAGCTTCATTCATGCTTTTCTGCCTGGGGTTCGGTAGATTTGTTTGAATGTGTTATACCCCAGATAGGAATCCCATGGAGCCCATTCGTATGAAACTGACTGTAAAGACTTTGGCTCCATGGCGATTAAACTGTATTTGTGTGGTCTGAGCGCCATTCACTTAGTAATGTGCGCTCAGACCTGAGCTATCTGGGGATATGTTAAATGTATAGTTTTAATGTTATGTGTCTTACCTGGTGTATTTTAACAGTAATGCTTGTTTTATGTATAAAATGGGACTTTGTGTATTGTACAGTATTTTAATGCTTTGTGCTAACCATGTGCATAATGGAGTCTTGTCTCTGTCCTGGGAGATAATTTAATTACTTCTCAATTATCTCCTGGGCAGAGGAGAGGAAGCCAGGATGCATTGTGGTAAAAAGGGGGAGGGAATCTGTGGGTTGTAACTAATATGTTACTGGATATTTTATACCTCCCTGTGGGTGGTCCTGTATTTGCAAGACTGTAATAAAAACCAGGCTGGGTGTGCCAGCACCTCAGATCACTGCTTGACCCTCAACACAGAGCTTTGTCTTGTTCTTGGGGGGATTTACTGTATGCTGTTCCAGTCTGATTGCCAGGAGTGTAAGCCGCTTGGGTGCTTTTCCTGTTCAGCTGCTAGCAGCTATTTGTGAGGTTCCAGTTCGGGAGTTTGGAGTGCTACTTGGTATCCTGTTCGGGAGTTTGGTGTTCTGCAGTAGCTGTGCCTGCATCTCTGAAAAGGGGACGATCGCCTAAACGGTTTTAACCCCTTGTGTGCAAAACGGTCCGTTACACACATATTCTCAATGGTATACTTAACATTGTTGATTTTTCCTGTCCACAGTAAGTACCTCCCTTCATTATCCGCTAGTACCTTGTCCGTTGAACAAGCCACATTCCTGTTTAATTGACGCACCTCTAGACTTGGATTTATAAGTACTATGGAATTGGGTTGGGAAAATTTTCGACATAAGCTTATAGTCTTTACCAACTTTGAAATGATGTCGGATTTGTTGGACTTTAATTCTTTGAATAGTAATCTTCTCTTGTGCACGGTGTTTAAACCCACATTGAACGATAAATATTTTAAAACCATGGTTCATACCATTGGTCATGAGTGGTAAAGAAAAAAACATTTAACAATATGAGAGTACAAACCCCTGTGTCCAAGGGAGAAGTATAAGTGAGTCCAACATTGTTACAAAAATAGTTTGTTCAAAAAATAAGAAACTTACTGAACTAATTATATCAAGCGTTGTGCAAGTTGTAATATTGAATTGAATAAAATATTTTACATTTCACGAAAAACTGGATGGATATAAAACAAAAAAATGAAAAAATTGTATAAAAAAAACTTGGGTAAATACCCCTATCAGGGGAAAAAAAGAGAACATTATCAAAAAAAAAGGGCCATGAATGAGAACAAAAAAAAGTTTTTCCATCTCAGGGTGTTAGGCCCAGGTTGGGGTGTGTGTGTGGGGGGGGGGGAGATAAGACTACTGGGGGCAAGGAGAATCATTTTAATAATAATAATAATAAAAAAAAAACTCCAATCTGAAATTCTCATCTAAGAAGAAATTTGTTAGCTCAAGTTAAGAGTTATAAATGATCAAATCAAGTTCTGAAGTAAACAATAGTGTCAGGTTATACCTGCCGGGTTTCGCCGAATTAACCCACTTCCGGGTTCACGGAGCTTTGCCCCGCCCCTTTTTCTGACGCAGTCTTCCCACGCTACACAGGAAGACCGCGCCAGATTCAAAGCGCTGGATTATTGAACAGGTGTCTGTGAAACTCTTACCGGCTACTCTATTTCAATTGAATCTACTCCGTGTACCGAAATTGCTCTGAAAACGGCTTCCCTCCTTCTCCACTCCTCGACCTCGGATTGTTAAACGGACTTCTTCTCCTTCCCCTAAGGAACTGATTAATTGATCTCTCCAGTTACCTAAAACTGCCTCATAAGCTAAGTACTATTTCCTTCAATCCAATTGCTCTGAGTTGCAAATAAGAAACTGCTTCTTAAGCTAAGTTTTTCTTCCTTCAATCCAATTGCTCTCAGTTACAAATAAGAACCTGCCTCATTGTTAAACTCGCCTGAAGCTAATTCTACTACAATTAATTCAAACTAATTCTGCATGCATTCTCTGCACTATCCTTAATTGGGACTGCTTGGCTTTGTGCAAAACTTCAGTGGCTTATTTTTTTCCTGCAACTAACAACCTGCTATAAGGGTTTAAAGCTACAGTATCCACTCCTGCAATTCAATAACAAAAAAGGATAAAATTATAAATTGATGTAATTAAAAAGTTTTCTGCAGTTGCGTTCCACTAGTTCAGCATTACAGAATAATCCAGCCCTTTTCAATGGAACCAGCAGATATTAACTCACAAGTCTCTGCCCTGACAAATAGAGTTGATACAATTGCTCAGGGCTTACAAGAATTGCAAATTACAAACAAGAGAATATTAACATATGTCAGAGACATACAAGGTCATCTTCCTCATGCCGCTCTTCAATCGGCTAGCGATCCTGCTGTCTGTAACCCAGAAAATTTTTATGGAGATAGATCAAAGTACAGAGAGTTCTTAAATTCTTGCAAACTTCTGATAGCTTTAAGACCTAGATCTTATATTACTGAAAGATCTAAGGTTTTTTCTGTGATCTCTTTTCTAAGAGGTGAACCTATGGCCTGGGCACATTCCTTTCTAGAGAATGATGACCCCATATTAGATTCATTGGATGAGTTCTTTGAAGCTATGTCTCTATTATATGAAGATCCTTATAAACAAACTACTGCAGATTTAACCATCAGAACTCTACACCAAAAGAATAGACCTGTTGAAGATTATATTGCAGAATTTAAAAGATGGGCTACTGAAACCCAATGGAACGACATTACCTTATGCAATCAATTCCGTCTCGGATTATATGAAGCTGTAAAAGATGAACTCTCCCGTACCGAACTCCTTCCTACTTTAAACACATTGATCCAACTTTCCATTAGTATTGATAGACGTCTAAGAGAAAGAAGGGCTGAAAAGTTCTCACTAATTCTACTTGGAGAAAACCCTTCACTCCTCCAAAATTGCCTGAAAAAATTCCTATTCAAACTGAACCTATGGAAGTAGGTATAATAAGAAGTCCCCTTACTTCTGAAGAAAGAATAAGAAGAAGACAATTAAACCTATGTATGTATTGTGCCTCAAAAGAACATCTAATTCCTGAATGTCCTCTTCTGAAACATTCAAAAGGTGCTAAGCATCATTCATCTACTTCTATATTAAACGTCCTACAAAAAAAAACATCTACTTATTTTTCTATATCTCTCATATTACAGTGGGACACAAAAAGAATTATCGATTCAGGTGCTAATGGAGCCTTTCTTGATTTTTCCTTTGTTACAAAAAAGTAAAATCCCTTGTGTTCGTAAAACTAATTTTGTTCCAGTCAGAGTTATTGATGGCTCATATATATCCTCAGGACCCATAAAAAATGAGACAATTCCTCTAAGAATGATTACCAACAACGTTCATTCCGAATTCCTTATCTTTGATGTTATTAAATCTCCACTTTATCCAGTTATTCTAGGGATTAATTGGTTAAAAATCCATAATCCATTAATTAAATGGTCTCCTTTCACCATTTCTTTTACCTCTGACTTCTGTAAAAGAACATGCTTACAACATATTCCCATTCTCCAAGTTACTAAAGAACCAGGTATACCTCCATTTTACTCCGATTTCGCAGATGTCTTTTGTAAAAAAGGAGCCGAAACACTTCCACCTCATCGGGTATATGACTGCCCAATAGATCTCATACCCGGAGCTCCTATTCCTTATGGCCATATTTATCCACTCTCTGAAAAAGAATTAGAAACCTTAAAAGAATACCTCAATGAAAATCTACGTAAAGGGTTCATCAGACCTTCAACCTCCCCAGCTGCTTCTAGTATTTTTTTTGTGAGAAATAAGGACCAAACCATTCGTCCCATTATAGATTACAGAGCCTTAAACAAAATAACGGTTAAAAATCGTTATCCTCTTCCTCTAATAAATGAATTAATTGAAAGGTTGAGAACCGCAACTATATTCACTAAATTAGACCTCCGTGGCGCATACAACCTTATTAGAATAAAACAGGATGATGAATGGAAGACCGCCTTCCGGACAAGATATGGTCTCTACGAATATCTTGTGATGCCTTTTGGGCTCTGTAATGCCCCCGCAACATTACAACATTTTATAAATGATATCTTCAGAGATCTATTGGATGTATGTGTTATTATCTACTTAGATGATATCTTAATATATTCCAACAATCTGGACGAACATAGGAAGCATGTAAGATGGGTTCTATCTAGATTGAGAACACACAAATTATACGCTAAACCCGAGAAATGCCTTTTTGAAGTTACTGAATTCTCTTTTCTAGGATATATTATTTCACCTCATTCCCTGAAGATGGATAATTCTAAAATTGAGTGTATCATCAACTGGCCCGTCCCTACTAGTACAAAAGAGTTGCAACGATTTCTTGGATTTGCAAATTTCTATAGAAAATTTATTAGAAATTACTCAGATATATCTCATCCACTTAATCTCCTTAACAGCAGTAAGCGTTCTTTTAATTGGAATGAAAATGCACAAACAGCCTTCAACGAATTAAAAAGAAGATTTACAACTGCCCCCATTCTTCAACTGCCTAATCCAACATTCTTATATGTTCTTGAAGTAGATGCATCAGATACAGCTATCGGAGCAGTACTTTCTCAACAAAAAACACCTCAGGATCCGCTCCATCCAGTTGCTTTCTTTTCAAGATCCTTGAGCTCCGCTGAAAAAAATTATCCTATTGGTGAAAAAGAATTGTTAAGTGTTAAAGCTGCTTTTGAGAATTGGCGTCATCTCCTTG